GTCTCCTGAGCTGCCAGCAGTGGTCACTCGTTCTCCATGTCTGTCAGGATAATCTCAGGAAAATAGCATCTCACGTAGCATTAACTTGCAGCTGCACAATTGAGGTGAATTCATCATCCTTTTCTATGTAAATTGTAAAGGATGAAGAGAAAGCATCATTATCTGCAAATGACATGATAGTATAAATAAATGACTAAAAAATTTAGACAAGAAACTTGTACACCTGAGAAAACTTTTAGCAAAATATCTGGATACCAAATCAAATGACAAAAATCTGTAGTTCTCTTATATATGAATGACACATGGGCTAAGAAAGAAATCAGGGAAACAACTCCCACCACAATAGCTTCACGTAATGTAAAATATTTTGTGGTAACTCTTACCAAGCAAGTGAAAGATCTATATGATAAAAATTTATTGAAAAAAGAAAGTGAGGAAGATATTAGAAGTTGGAAAGATCCCCATGCTCATGGGTCAGTACGGTTACTATAGTAAAAATGGCCATCTCCATTAAAAGCAATCTACATATTCAGTGTAATCCCCATCCAAATTCCAACACAATTTTTCACATATTTTGAAATGACAAATTTCAGCTTCATATGGAAACACATAAACAAAAATCTAGGATAGCTAAAAATACTAAATAATGAAAGAATTATTGGAATTATCCCTAATTCCAAGTTGTACTACAAAGCTATAGTAATAAAATCATCATGACATTTTTGGCACAAAAAAAGAAATGTTAATCAGTGAAATAGAATTGATGAAGCATAAATAAATCTACATATCTATTGACATTTGATTTTTTGATAAAGAAGTCAGAAACACTCACCGGGAGAAAGTCAGCACCTTCAACAAATGATGCTAGTCAAGCCGGATGATTGCAGGTAGAAGAATGCAAATGAATCCATATTTGTCACCCTACACAGAACTCAACTACAATTGAGGAACAAAGACCTCAATATAAAACATGGCACACTGAACCTACTAGAAGAGAAAGTGGAGAATAGCCTTGAATGCACTGACAAGGAGACAACTTCCTGAACAGAACACACAAATAGTGCAGGTACTAAGATCAACAAATAATAAATGGGACCTCATGAAACTGAGACACATCTGTGAAGCAAAGGACACCATCATTCAGAAAAATGGTTGGCTGCAAAGAGTTAGTTTTATGACTGGTTATAGCTGCATACAACATTGTCTTCATCCACTTGTGGTTTGAATAAGAATGGCCTCCATAGGCTCATAGATTTGAATGTTTGGTCACAACAGGGAGTGGCACTTTCTGAAAGGATTAGGAAGTTTGGCCTTGTTAGAAGAAGTGTGTCACTGAAGGTGGCCTTTGAGGTTCTCAAAAGCCCAAGTCAGGTCCAGTGACTTCTTGCTCTCCTCTTGTTGCCTGCGGAGCCGGATGTAGGACTCTCAGCTGCTTTTCCAGAACAGTGTCTGCTTGCATGCTGTCAGCTGGTAATGAACTAAACCTCTGAAAGTGTAAACCAGCTCCAATTAAATGCTTTCTTTTTGTAAGAGTTGCCATGGTCGTTGTCTTAGGGTTTCTACTGCTGTGAGGAGACACCTTGATCACAGCAACTCTTTTTTTAAATTATAACTTATTCTATTTTTTATTCATTTTACATACCAAACACAGTTCCCCCTCACTGCCCTCCTCCTGCTATCCTCCCCATGCCCCATCCAACCTATCTCCCATCTGCTCTTCAGAAAGGGCAAGGTCTCCAGTGGGGAGATACCAAAGCGTGGCACATTGAGGCGAGGTAGGACCAAGCCTCTTCCTGCTGCATCGATTGAGGTTGAACAAGCATCCCACCATATGGAATGGGCTCCAAAAGGCCAGTACATACACCCTGGTTCCACTGCCTGGGCTCCCACAATCAGATCAGGCTATGCATGAGCACAGCAACTCTTATAAAGGGAAATATTTAGTTGAGCCTGGATTACAGTTACAGATGTTCAGTTCATTATTGTCATAGTGGGAAACATGGCTACAGGCATGTTCTGGAGAAGGAGCTGAGAGTTTTACATCTTGATCTGCAGGCAGCAGCAGGAGACGGTGCATCACAGGAGGAGTAACTGGAGCACATGAGACCTCGAAGCCCATGTTCACAGTGACACATTTCCTCCAACAAGGCCCCACCTCCTAATAGTGCCACTTTCTATGGGCCAAGCATTGACTAACACATGGGTCACTGGGGGCCATACCTATTTAAACCACCATGGCAATGGTGTCTCTTTAGAGCAGTAGAGCACTAAGACACCACTCAAACATTTTCACTACATGTCTGTCTGGCAGTCCCTCTAGGTCAATATGGCTCCATCCATCATGTTGTTATTTATTATGACCTAAGAGGATAAAGCTGCCATTACATTGTGTCTGCAGCCGGGAAGCAGAGGTCTGTGAGTATTTATGCTTGGCTCATTTTCTCATCTTTATTCGTTGTGGGTCCCCAGCCTATGAAATGGATTCACAGTGGGTGGGTCTTCACTCCTCAATTAGCCTCATCTAGAAATCTCTCAGAGGTACAAGAAGCTTGTCACCTAGGTGATACTCCATCCCATCAAGTTGGTTATACAGATTAAACATCAAAGATCATTAACACATCCCTAACATACCTTGTTGGTGTTTTTTCCCTCCACAAAAATATATAGACAGTGGGGCTGGAGAAATGGCTCAGCAGTTAAGAGTACTGGTTGCTCTTCCAGAGGTCCTGAGTTAAATTCCCAGCAACCACATGGTGGCTTACAACCATCCATAATGAAATCTGGTGCCCTCTTCTGACATACAGGTATACATGCAGGAGGAACACTGCATACATAATACATAAATAAATAAATAAGTAAATACCAAGAGAATGGGAGGTAGTACTGTGAATCAATCATGTGCTCTGATTGACAATGAGAGTAAAACATACGTGTCAGACAAAATGACTTCCTTGTCCTGAAAAGTCAATAAATGAATCAACTAGCTAAACCTTCTGGAGAGGAGAGCAGTGTGCCAGGGAGGTTATTGTATATAGTAAAATCGAGGAAAGCTTCAAAGAGATGATATCTGAGCTAGAATAAGTTGCTTTTGTGAAGAACTGGGGAAGGGGGTTAGGTGTTCTTGGGGAGGAAAGGAGAAGTAGGAAGGACTTTGTTCTATTCAAATGCACGCATGAGCTCACACAAACTTGGCTGGAATTTCTTATGTAAAGAGAAAAATGTTGGGAAATAAGACCAGATCAGCAAACACCAGTTTGATGTCTTTTTGCTATACATTTTATTCTAAAATCAACCAATTCTAAGAACCAGTTTAAGCAAGCAGGAGCTTGTTTTCAACTTGTAAAGAGAATTTTGGCTACTTGTGAGGATCAGAGAAAGCTAGGTTGTATTGTGGTAAGGGAGCAAGGGGGCCTAAATGGATAAGAAACAAGAAATACCTAGAACTGGTCAGTGTCCAGTCCAGTTGTACAAGTGAGCTGGTGAGTGTTGTCATGTGGACATGAGGGCTGTTTATGTTTCCTTTGTGGCCTCTTGTCATTCCCTTCCATTCTCATTCTAGTCCTTACTGACTAGAGTCATTTTAAATACCTAAACAAAATATATGAAACCACGTCCCCAGAATAAAGAAGCCAAAGTGTTCCTTGTGATATCTGGGGATGCTCTGTCTAACCTTTGTGCATTAACCTGCAAGAGGCTTAAATAGCAAACTCTTTTCTGGCTCGAGCAGCTTCAGTGAATAGTTCCTTTTTCACATTAAGAATCTCTCTCTCTCTCTCTCTCTCTCTCTCTCTCTCTGTCTCTCTGTGTGTGTGTGTGTGTGTGTGTGTGTGTGTGTGTGTGCCTGCACGTACTAGTATTTTGGTGGAAGAAGGTAAAATGTATTCATGTTCCTAAACTAGCTAAACACAATTCTAAACATTTTCTATTCAGCCAAATGACCTTGACTTTCCTGGCTGGAAAAGAACCCTGCCTGCAAATCATCACAGCTAAGGTAGGACTACGTTCCTTCATAAAAATCTAAGGCAAAGCCATTCTGCCCAGATATTATTGCTACACCCACAGCGGTGACCCCTGTGTAACTGTAGCAGAATGCCGCTCTACTGGGGGGAACCGCGTGAAGGGATGGGGTCAGAGCTTCTCGAAGCGGAGCCCCAGGCAGTCTCCTAGAGAGAAGCCCGACCCATGAGAGCCGCCAGAAGATCCCTGCGCTGCCGAGCAATATGTTCTGTTCTCTTTATGCTTTTCTGCGTAATCTATTTAATCACTTTACTATCTGTTTCCCAAGCACAGGCTAACCCAGATTCTAAAAAGGAAGCTGGCAATGCCACCAGCCCTGAGATGGATAACCCACTGCTCGAGGCACCTCCATTTATCCAGGCTGTTTATACAGAAGCTGGATACAATAAGACTAGTAATCAAACTCTGGGAGATTTCCTTAATGCTGTGAAACGAAGAGAATTCCTTATAGAACACTTCCCGGAGGATATACTCAGTATCTGATTAAGGGGAGATGGTGGACGGCGCCACGATGGGTGCCGAAGCAAGGAAACTATTTAGAGCCCCTACCATATACAGGAGGCTATGATGAGCGGGGTTACAGATGGGTCCACCATAAAGGCAAGAGAGTTCTTTGGAATTCATTAAACTTCATGGAACGGTTACGTAGAAGCAGGAGACCATGGTGTATTTATGATGAAAAGGAGAGACGAGCCATTTTAGAAAATATGATGCCAGCCTTAAGATACTGGCATGCTTGCTTATGCAAGCAGTTGTGGGAAGCCTTGTATCGCAGATGTGATTCCTTTAAAGAACACATTGCTAAGTACATCAGAGGGGAGCTAAAACTGTCCATGTAAAAAGAGGAAGTTGACACTTGTCTCTAAAGATATGCTAGACATGATTCACCGAGCAGCCAGTTCATGACCAACCACAGAGCCACAAATAATTGTATTAATAGATAAACTTATGCTATGTCTGATCTGGGGCTGGAAACTTTTCGCTGAGATGTTCAAATTTTAAAAAATCATGATTCAGCTGTAACATGAATTGTATTTTTTCTATCCTTGTTAAGTTCCTTGTTTCTATCACTATATAAGAGAAGTTTAAACTTCAGTAAAATTACAGCAGTTCACTAAAACTCTTGGTGTCTGTCTGTCATTTCCTGCGCCGTATCCTGACCTCTCCTGATACCTTCGACCCTGACCTCCCGCGGTCTGACACTCTCCGCCAGAGCGGTCCGCGGCAGCTGGCGCCCGAACAGGGACCTGAAGGACAGGTAATCTTTCTTTTCTTTCCTTTTTAGTGGTCAAGGAACGGATCTCACCAGGGAGCTGCAGTCCCGCCGGTAAAGGCTGACCGGTTAAGCGTGAGTAATCTTGAAAAACAGGAAATAATCATGGGGCATACGCTGACTAAAAATGAGAGCATGCTGGTAACCATGTTACATAGAATGTTGCTCAATTCAGGACTTCATACTTCTAAGAAAGATTTAGAGCACTTTGCTATGTTTATTCAAAAGATAAGCCCTTGGTTCTTGAATGAGGGATCCTTGACCTTAGGAGAATGGAAAAAACTTGGTCGAGAAATGCGAAAATATGTACAGGAAAATGGAGAAAAGACCCTGCCTCCTCAAGCCTTCCCTTTATTTTTGCATATTAGAGAAATATTGACTGAAGGCACCCCTTTTCAGGGCCTTTGTCGAGAAACAGCTTCTGAGACTGAGGAACCGGTATATGCTGAGGTGGCTTTCGAGGAAGGTACCCCGGAAGAGTTAAAACCATTACAAACGGGAAGACACTGCAGACGTAAAGAATCGTCTCCTGAGAATGATGATGATGATGTCTATTTAGATGATGAGATGGCAAAGAAGGATTGGGAAGATGATTTTAGAGATCATACTGACCCTCCTCCCTCCTATATTACAATGGTAAAAGAGAAAAGACCAGTCCCAAAGCCTCGAAAATATCCTCCCTTGGTCCCTATGGGATTTCAAGGGGCTATGGCTGAAGCAAGGAGAACCGGAGATACTACCTTTGGTATATTCCCGGTCACAGAAGTTTGGGATGAGGAACCTATGTGGGAACCTTTGCCCCTTAAAACTCTTAAAGAGCTCCAACAGGCTGTAAAAATGTCTGGACCATCTGCACCTTTTACCTTGCAGATTGTAGAAATGGTGGCCAGTTCTTGGCTAACTCCCTATGACTGGCTACAGACTGCAAAGGCCACACTCTCTCCTGGAGATTATATTCTCTGGAGAACTGAATATGAGGACATATGCAAAGAGACCATTGTAGATTCCATCAAAAAACGAGGCCCCAAGCCCACAATGGCTATGTTTATGGGCACAGGAGAATATGCCACCCCTCAGTCTCAGACTAAAATACCTCGAGATATTTTGCAAATAATAACTACTAACGCTGTTCAAGCATGGAGGCGGATTCCTCCTTCAGGAACCAAGGGAGCAGCATTGGCTAATATAAAGAAGGGAACAGAAGAAACCTATCAGGAGTTTATAGCCCGGTTAGAAGAGGCTATTAATAGAATGATGCCTCCTTCTGAGGGCACTGATATCCTCCTCAAACAATTAGCTTGGGAAAATGCCAATGCTCTATGTCAGGATTTAATTAGACCAATCAGAAAAACTGGTAACCTGCAAGATTATATAAAAGCATGTCAGGATGCCTGACCAGCAGTAGTGCAAGGAATGGCCTATGCTGCAGCCATGAAAGGACAAAAGTTCAGCTCATATGTGAAACAGACATATGGAGGGGGTAAAAGACCTTCCTCCCCACTTACTTGCTTTTCCTGTGGAATGGAAGGGCATATGCAGAAAAATTGTCCAAAGAATGATAGGCATAAAGGACAAAAAGGAACCCCATGTTTGTGTCCTAGATGTAGGAAAGGAAAACATTGGAAAAATGAGTGCAAATCTAAGTTCCGGAAAGATGGAACCCCTCTTAGCGAGGAAGAAGAAGAAAAAGAGACAAAAAACTGGTAGAGGGGCGATCTCCTAGCCCCACAGCAAAGGGAGAAGAGGAATTTAAAGAAAGCTCTCTTAACCCTGATGCTCCAGAATTTACAATACATGATTTGCCTAGAGCTACTCCATGAAGTGCAGGGCTGGACCTCATCTGTAATGAAGATATAATTCTGTCCAGATGGGATGTAGTTTCTATAATAAATACCCATACTAAAGGGACTCTACTGCCTCAAACGACAGGATTAATACTGGGTAGAAGTTCTAACATCAAGAAAAACTTTGAAGTAATTCCTGGAGTAATAGACTCTGATACAGAGAATACCATCAAGGTGATGGTGAAACCATTGTCTGAAACCATTCAGTTGCATAAAGGACAGAGAATAGCTCAGTTATTATTGATACCTTATATTCATTTTCCAAATCTGGTCCTCCAGGAAGGGAGAGGACAAGGACAGTTTGGTTCCAGTGAGGGAGCATTCATGATTCAAGACCTTAGTCAAAGACCCTTTAAGACGATTACTATAGAAGGGAAAGCCTTCAGGGGTCTTATGGATACAGGGGCAGACAGAACTTGTATCTGCGCCTCGGACTGGCCAAATGCTTGGCCAATCAAGAAAACAGGTTCATCACTTTTAGGATTAGGATCTGCTTCTGGTGTAATGCAAAGCACTAGACAATTGAAATGGACTCATGAAGGAAAGAAGGGGATAATTCAGCCCTATGTTTTGCCCTCACTCCCATTTACGTTACGGGGAAGAGATTTATTAGATTCTATGGATCTAAAATTGGTATCTGCAGAGGAATTAAGGTACCAGCATTTTTCATAGGGGCCGCTGAAGAATATCTTTGTGCAGATAAAATACAATGGCTGACTCAAGACCCCCTATGGGTAAGTCAGTGGCCCCTAACAGAAGAAAAAGTGCAAGCTCTTGAGCAGCTAGTTCAGGATCAATTAGAAAAAGGGCACCTAGTGGAGTCCAATAGCCCTTGGAACACACCAGTGTTTGTTATAAAAAAGAAATCAGGGAAATGGAGGCTATTGCAGGACCTTAGAGCAGTAAATGCTGTTATGAAGGATATGGGAGCACTGCAACCAGGATTGCCATCTCCAGTTGCAGTACCTAATGGCTGGCCTACTTATGTGATAGATCTACAAGATTGTTTCTTCACTATAAAGTTGCACCCAGAAGATAGTGAATACTTTGCTTTTAGTGTGCCATCAGTAAATTTTAAAAGGCCTTTTAAAAGATATCAATGGGTGACATTGACTCAAGGAATGAAAAATTCTCCTACCTTATGTCAAAAATTTGTAGGAAGAGCCTTAGAAACAGTTAGAAAAGTATATAAGGAGGCATATATTATACATTATATGGATGATATTTTGTTAGCTCATCCTAAAGGAGAGCTATTGGAGTCATTGTTAAAAGACATGATTCAGGCATTAACTAGCTAATGGGCTTATAATCGCTCCTGATAAAGTTCAGAAGGAATAAACCACTGAATTATTTGGGACAGAAGATTCATGAGAATTACATAACCTCACAAAAGGTTTTCATAAGAAGGGACAAATTAAAGACGCTAAATGATTTTCAAAAATTATTAGGGGACATTAATTGGCTACGCCCTTATTTAAAAATAACCACAGGAACCTTAAGTCCATTATATTCTATTTTGCATGGGGATTCCAATCCAAAATCAATACGAACATTAACTCCTGAAGCTCTTGCAGCTTTACAAATTGTTGAACAGGCCTTGTCTAATGCAAGAGTTAAACAGCTAGATTATAATAAAATCTGGAAATTATTGATTTTTCCACTAGTTATACACCCACCGCTTGCTTATGGCAAGATGGGATATTAGAATGGCTACATTTACCACATACTCAATCAAAAATGGTAGCAGATTATCCATATATGTGTTCTTTATTGATTATAAAAGGTAGAAATAGATCTAAAGAATTGTTTGGGTCACGAACCTCATGGAAATCATTACTCCCTATAATAAGAATCAGGTAGATCAATTGATGCAAAATAATGAGGACTGGGTCCTGGCTCTTCATAGGATATATTGGACATATTAGATATCATTATCCAAGACATCCATCTCAGTGGAATTTTCTAAGAATGTGGAATTTATTTTCCCCACTTGTTTTTCTCATGAGCCTCTGATTACGGCCTCAAATGTTTTTACAGATGGTTCCTCCACAGGAAGGGCTGCGGTCTATGCCCCAGACTATGGTTATTGGGTTCAAGAAGGGCACGCGGATCTGCCCAGCAAGCAGAAATTAGAGCGGTCCTCTTGGCCCTGACTAAGATTTCCCAACCTTTTAATTTATACTCAGATTCCAAATATGTGGTTAATCTCTTTCCTGCTATAGAGACTGCCACCTTGTCCGGGAAATCCCCTATCCTAATTTTATTGCAAAATCTGCAAGAACTTCTCCAAAAAAGAATGCATAAAATATTTGTGGGACATATAAGAGGACATACTAAGCTGCCTGGTCCCTTGTCACATGGGAATCATATAGCAGATTTATTGACTATGACCTTAACACCTCATGTCTGGAACATTACTGAAGCACAAGAGAGTCATGCTCTTCATCATCAGAATGCTAACGCACTTAGAAAAATGTTTCATTTAAGTAGAGAACAGGCCAGACAAATAGTGAAATCTTGTGGCCAATGTCCTGCACCCCATTCAGTACCAAAAATGGGGGTAAACCCCCGGGGACTTAAGCCAAATGTAATATGGCAGATGGATGTAACTCATGTAACCTCTTTTGGAAAATTGTCCTTTCTTCATGTAACTGTAGATACCTTTTCTCACTTTACTCATGCCTCAGCTAGAACTGGGGAAGCAGTTAAAGATGTTGTGCAACATTTGTCTCAATGTTTTCATATAATGGGATTTCCTTCACAAGTTAAAACGGACAACGTCCCTGCATACACCTCTAAGGCTTTTGCTTCCTTTTGTCAACAATGGGGCATTAAACATGTTACAGGAATTCCCTACAATCCTCAAGGACAGGCAATTATAGAAAGGACTCATCAGGTTCTTAAAACTCAAATAGAAAGGTTGCAGAGATCGAGCAATGTGTATTTTACTCCTCATCATGTTTTGTCACATTCCTTATTTGTCATTAATCATTTAAATTTAAATAGCCAAGGAATTTCTGCTGCCCTATCCCATTGGGATAGAGAAATTATTAAAAGCCCATTGCCCAAAGTACTATGGAAAGATCTTTTAACCGGGACCTGGAAAGGGCCAGATATACTTATAACGGCGGGACGAGGGTATGATTGTATCTTTCCCCAGGATGCCGAGTCCCCCATTTGGGTTCCGGACCGACACATCAGACCTGCCCCGAAAGAAAAGGAAGCAGAAGCGGAGGCAACGGAAGCAGCAGAAGCAGCTGATTCTGCAAATGAAGAAACTGAAAGGCAACCGGGGAAAGCCAATGACCTGGACTCAATTTCGCTCGCTGACGCGACATGCTAAAGAACTTTTAATTGAATTGGGGAAACCCCCGACGCCTGCATGTTATTTCTTGGCCTTTCTTTCTCTCCTCTCTGCTACCCCTCTACCCACAGAGGGGGTTTCCTATTGGGCTTATGTTCCAGATCCTCCCATCATCCAGCCCATAGGCTGGATGGACCCACAACACATTAAAGTGTTAACAAATGATTCACTAAGAATAGGCGGTGCTCAGAATTCAGAGCTCCGCCCTAGCACATCCTCCTTTATAAATTTTGAGGGCAGAGCAGATTCGTTACCGGTCTGCCTGACTCTTCAGGGAAAGGCTCCTCATGGCTGCTTTACTACACGCTATAGGACCTTTCTTACAGATTCTCCTGATAGGGCACAACTCGGTGATTCCTCAGGTAAAAGATGGATATGGGAGGTTCAAATGCAGACTTTGGGTGATCCTTTATATAAAGAAGTCTTTGTAAATAGGCAAACAAGTCCTGAAGTACAGAGTATTGAAAAATACAGGGATAAGGATAAGTTCTGGGATGCAGCATTAACCAATAATCCAACATGGTTACAATGTGCTTTTCCTCATGCGGCTACTTGGTATGCTTCAGTTAATTTGACTGATGAAAATTTATTAGTATGGGATTATTCTAATTCTAATAATGGCTCCAATAAGATTTATGAAAATTATATTACACAAAATAAGGAAAAATTTCATAATTATACTTATGATGGCCTTGGAGAGCCTCTTAGAAGTTGGTTTTCACCTGGGATAGTAGAACCTACCTGGTTCATCGAACAAGGAAATATCACAAGGCGGCAGTCTGACCTATTTCGGTTAGTGGCCGCAGCCAATATGTTCTTGGAAAAGAAACCTGGTGAAAAGAAGTCTTTAGCTTATGGTTTGCGTGCATGTTTATCCTATCCCTATGCCATGCTTCTTGCGCAGCAGGCTTTTGTTAATATTTCCCAAGAGCCCGGAAATTCTTATTCGGTTACTTGCCATTCCTGTAAATTGACTAATTGTATTTCTTCAGCGGAACCAAAGGATTTGGACACAGTTATAATCGTTCGGCGCCCTCCTTATGTTTTGTTGCCAGTAGAGCTTGGTGAAGAGCCTTGGTATGATAATGCTGCTTTACAAGTTTTAGAGGATTTTAATGCCCTTATTAGGCCAAAACGTTTTGTTGCTGCTCTTGTTCTTTGCATTGCTGCTTTAATATCAATTTTAACTACTTTTACTGTTGCCACCACGGCATTGGTTGAGACAATTCAAACTGCACAGTTTGTTAATAACCTCAATCGCAATGTTTCTCTTGCTTTAACTCAGCAGGAATTAATTGATAAGAAATTGGAATCAAAACTAAATGCTTTGGAGGAAGTGGTGATTGCACTTGGTCAGGAAATGAGCAATCTTAAAAATACGCTTTCAGTTCGCTGTCATGGCAATTTTAAGTCTATTTGTGTCACACCTCTGCCTTACAATACCTCTGAACCTTGGGAAAAAGTAAAAGCACATCTGCAGGGAGTCTGGACAAGCAGTAGCATTTCCCATGATATTGACTAATTACAAAAGGATATCTCAGCCATGAGTCAGTCGCATCTACAGTTAGGGGGGCTTCAACAACTAGCCTCCAGCCTTCAGTCTAATGTAAAGGCTCTTAATCCTTTAGATTGGCTACAATACTTTATATTTCTTGGCATCCTTGTCTTGCTTTTCCTTATAGTAATTTTTCTGTTTCCTCCTCTTATATCATGTCTTTTCAAGACACTCAAAACAGTGCAACAGGATATCTTTGAGCTCCGTTTTAAAAACAAAAAGGAGGAACTGCTACACCCACAACGGTGACCCCTGTGTAACTGTAGCAGAATGCCGCTCTACTGGGGGGAACCGCGTGAAGGGATGGGGTCAGAGCTTCTCGAAGCGGAGCCCCAGGCAGTCTCCTAGAGAGAAGCCCGACCCATGAGAGCCGCCAGAAGATCCCTGCGCTGCCGAGCAATATATTCTGTTCTCTTTATGCTTTTCTGCGTAATCTATCACTTTGCTATCTGTTTCCCAAGCACAGGCTAACCCAGATTCTAAAAAGGAAGCTGGCAATGCCACCAGCCCTGAGATGGATAACCCACTGCTCGAGGCACCTCCATTTATCCAGGCTGTTTATACAGAAGCTGGATACAATAAGACTAGTAATCAAACTCTGGGAGATTTCCTTAATGCTGTGAAACGAAGAGAATTCCTTATAGAACACTTCCCGGAGGATATACTCAGTATCTGATTAAGGGGAGATGGTGGACGGCGCCACGATGGGTGCCGAAGCAAGGAAACTATTTAGAGCCCCTACCATATACAGGAGGCTATGATGAGCGGGGTTACAGATGGGTCAACCATAAAGGCAAGAGAGTTCTTTGGAATTCATTAAACTTCATGGAACGGTTACGTAGAAGCAGGAGACCATGGTGTATTTATGATGAAAAGGAGAGACGAGCCATTTTAGAAAATATGATGCCAGCCTTAAGATACTGGCATGCTTGCTTATGCAAGCAGTTGTGGGAAGCCTTGTATCGCAGATGTGATTCCTTTAAAGAACACATTGCTAAGTACATCAGAGGGGAGCTAAAACTGTCCATGTAAAAAGAGGAAGTTGACACTTGTCTCTAAAGATATGCTAGACATGATTCACCGAGCAGCCAGTTCATGACCAACCGCAGAGCCACAAATAATTGTATTAATAGATAAACTTATGCTATGTCTGATCTGGGGCTGGAAACTTTTCGCTGAGATGTTCAAATTTTTAAAAAATCATGATTCAGCTGTAACATGAATTGTATTTTTTCTATCCTTGTTAAGTTCCTTGTTTCTATCACTATATAAGAGAAGTTTAAACTTCAGTAAAATTACAGCAGTTCACTAAAACTCTTGGTGTTTGTCTGTCATTTCCTGCGCCGTATCCTGACCTCTCCTGATACCTTCGACCCTGAGCTCCCGCGGTCTGACACTCTCCGCCAGAGCGGTCCGCGGCATATTATGACCTTCCTAATTGCCCACTGAATTTTTGCCTTTGACATAAAAGGGATATAGGGCAGCCTTTTTGTATCCTGAGGAAACAGACATCCTCTACTGGTAGGAGATTCCTTTATAAAAAAATTCTGAGGATTAAAACAGAGCCCTAGGGAAAAAAACTAAAAGTAGCAGACAGATATATAAATAATGCTGGAGTATTATAAAGGATGGAATCCTACAAGTGTGTGCCTGGTAAAAAGAATAACAAGGAAAGACTCTGCCTGAGTTACAATCTTGTGGAAAGCCACTGTAGCCCTACTCAGAAAATACTTCTGCAGTAACGTCTATCCAACACCTGCTTGTTTACAGATGTAACAATGCCATCTTCATCACTGAGTTTTGAAGTCAAGATTATTATTCCAAAACAGTTATATAATCTCCCCCATTTTGTCTCTAAAAGATCCCCCTCTTATATCTCTTCTGATTTGCTCTTTGCTTCTTTAGGGAAAAGGGTCCAGGGACTTGGTTGGTGCAGGTTCAGACTTCTAGAGAATTAACAGCACAACTGAAAGCTCTAGAACAAAAAAAAAAGCAAACTCACCCAGGAGGAGATGCCAAGAAATAATCAAATTGAGGACTGAAATCAATAAAGTAGAAGCTAGGAAAACAATACAAAGAATCAATGTAACAAAGAGTTGGTTCTTTGAGAAAATCAACAAGAAGGACAAATCTTTATCCAAACTTACCACACAGCAGAGTGTGAACATGCAAATTAACAAAATCGGAAATGAAAAGGGGACCTAGCAATGGACACTGAGAAAATCCAGAGAATCATCAGGTCATACTCTGGAAACCTGTACTCCACAAAATTCTAAAATTTAAAGGAAATGGACAATTTTCTGGATATCTATCACTTACCAAAATTAAATCAAGAAAGACAAGTATAGGACAAATCCAGATCCCCTGTTTCACTTAGGAGGCCTGGGCAATCTATGTGGCCTCTGAGTGGATCAGTATTTATCCCTAGCATACGAATGGACTTTGGGACCAAATTCCACATAGAGGATACTCTCTAAGCCATGATACATGGGGGATGGTCTAGCCCCTGCTCCTAGTGATGTGACAGACTTTGAAGATCCCCCCATGGAAGACCTCACCCATGCGTGGATGCATGGTTGGTAGGGGGGGCAGGGGAAGAGGGGAGGGAGAGGGAACTGGGATTGACATCTAAAACAAGCTTGTTTCTAATTTAAATTTTAAAAAGAAGAAGGAAAGATGGATTCCAGGGAAGGATCTGGAGTGGTCTCCATCATACAGATAGCACAGAGGTCATCTGTCCTATACAGTGCATGGGGCATCTCCCCTACGGTTGGGTTCTATTGACTGAGAAACAAAGATCTAGGGCCAGGAGGCTGGGATAAACCTTATGGGAGATTTGAGTGAGGTCTATCTGTCTCCACAGAAAGCAATGATTACCAGGTCACTAACAACATCAGCTCCCAGACTTCTGAGTAGAAAACAACTGTTTCCTCCTTTGAGGGGACACCCCTGCATGATTAACATTCCTGGTTTCCCTAGCGATCTGTGGGTACAAGGACCTTTGGGCACCCAACATCCCACTTTTAGCAATGGGCAAATTTCAGCTCCTCCAAAGCAAAGGAGACAAAACAAACCCAGAAACCCAGAAACTCGTCGGAGTTAGGCAGTGTTGGGACCAAGTGGCCCTAATGAAAATTTCTAGAATAACTTAAACAGTAGCAACAGAATGCGTGTTTCTCTAACATGTGGACACGTTCTCTAGAAGCAGGGTGATGGCTGATAGTGATGATCAACTGAATTGCATTTAGAGACTCCAGGGGGAAAACCACTAAGAGTGTTGGTGAGAGTGTTGCCTTAAATTAACTGAGGGAGGAAGATCCAGCCCGAAAAAGGGCAGCACCATCCCGTTGGCTGGGGTCCCAGATGAATAAAAAGAAGAAACTGAGCTGAACGCTAGTATCCATCTCTCGGCTTCCTGACTGCATGTGCAGCGATGTGAACAGGAGCCTCAGACTCCCTCACCAGGATGGACCTGAACCTGTGAGCTGTGACTCAAAAGATGCCCCTCCTAGCAATGCATAAGATAATAAACACAGTAGGCTATGTATTAGGCCTCAAAATTAATCCAAAAACTTTCTTCTGTGTTTTTTAAATTTATTTAAATTAGAAACCAGCTTGCTTCACATGTCAATCCCAGTTCCCTTTGCCTCCCCTCCTCCCCTGACCCCACCAACCCCCTTAACTCCCCACCCAATCCCCACTCCACTCCCTAGGGAGGGTGAGGCCCTCCACAGAGGATCTCCAAAGTCTGGCATATCATCCCAGGCAGGGCACAGGTCCTCCCCCATGTGTCCAGGCTGAAAGCATCCCTCCATGTGGAATGGGCTCCCAAAGTTCATCCATATGCCAGGGATAAATACTGATCTACTACCTGAGGCCCCATAGATTGCTGAGGGCTCCTCACTGACACCAAAATTTAGGGAATCTGAATTAGTCCCAAGCTGGCCTCTCAGCCATCAGTCTGGGGTCTATGAGCAGCCCCTTGTTCATGTCAGCTGTCTCTGTGAGTTTCACAAGCCCAGTCTTGACCCTGTTGCTCATCACTCCTCCCTCTCTACAGCTGGGTTCCAGGAGTTCAGTTCAGTGTTTATCTGTGGGGTTCTGCCTCTGCTTTCATCAGCCACTGGATGAAGGCTCTAGGATGGCATACAAGGTAGTTGTCAATCTCATTATCGTGAAGGGCATTCAAGTCAGCTTCTCCACTATTGCTTAGATTGCCAGTTGGTGTCACCCTTGTAGATCTCTGGAAATCTCCCTAGTGCCAGATCTCTCCTCAAGCCTATAATGACTCCCTCTATTGTGGTATCTCTCATCCTGCTCACCTCTATTCTTCCCCAGACTCAACCTTCCTGCTCCCCCATGTCCTCTGCTCCCTTGCTCTTCTCCCCCTCACTTTTCCTCAGCTCTCTCTCCCCTCCCCCCACGCTCCCAGTTCACTTGGAGATCCTGTCCCATTTCACTTCTCAGGGGTACCATTCATATCTCTTTTAGGGTCCTCCCTGTTTCCCAGACTCTCTGGAGATGTGGATTGTAGGCTGGCACCACCATGCTCCGTGTCTAAAATCCATATATGAGTGATTACATACCATGTTTGTCTTTTTGTGCCTGGGTTACCTCACGCAGGATGATTTCTTCTGGTACCATCCATTTGCCTGCAAATTTCAAGATTCCGTTGTTAATATCTTAGCATGTACCTTCTCTAACAATGGAAAAATAAGACCCAGAATTCAACAGGAGAAATTTTAGAAATTGGGCAAATGTGGTAAATTTTTAAAACACAATGTTATGAATGATCAGTGAGTTAATGAAAAACTTAAAATAGAAGTAAAACATTTTCTTGAGCAAAAATATTTCAATGATGCAACAAAACACTAGACCTATGTAATACTATTCAAGGCAACTGTAAGAGGCAATGCCTGTAATGAGTATTTACATACAAACTAATAAACAACAACTACACATACAATCAAGTAATAAGCTGTGTACAATTTAAATAAAGCAAGCAGTCCTCACAAATGCTTTGATTTCAAATATAAACCAAACCCAAAATTAGAGCAGAAGTAAGGGAAATAGAAGCAAAAAGTCCTTGGCTAGTGACATAGACTCACCTTGAAGTAAATAACAACCATGTGTCTATCTTGGTAGTCCTGTGACTCAGCCACTATCTTTACTAAAATTAAAGAGAGTGTGTCTTTGCTACATTGTGGCCATAAATTTTAAGTGTGATCCTGTGGTACCCTTCTTTCTATCATTGAATTTCCTTTTTTTTAGCCTAAGGAGACAACATCAGGCTTTTAAAACTGATTCATATTAAAAAACAAAATGGCATTTTATAAAGGTATGCCATGACAGGATCAGGAAAATAAGGTTCCAAATCTCTCCGTTGACTATATTTATGGTTTTGAGCTTTATTTTGGTACTAAAGAATCTTAATATTTGAGAATTATAGTTTTTAAGGCTCAAGTTTAACAGGAATAAAATTATAAATCCCAATTCTGTAAAAGAGCTACTAACTTATTAAACTGTTAAAAAGATATTTAAGATATACACGTTAGTGGTCAGTCATGCTAAGAACAGATGTAATTCATTCACAGAGATGAGCTTAAAAGGAGGAACCAATTATTATTTTCTATTATGTGGTCTTCCATCACTTCATCATACAGCACTTTGTGTGTGTTGTCAAAATTAAGCCTGAAGCCAAACCAAGCAATAGCAGAGAGACTACATTAATAGCTCTTCCCTGATGATAAGGTTGATGATTGCCTTATATGCTATCCTAGAATATCTATCCAGTGACTGATGGAAGCAGAGACAGATACCCACAGCTAGACACTGAACGGAACTCCTGGAACCCAGTGACAAAGATGGAGGAGTGATGAGCAAAGGGGTCAAGACCATGCTGGTGAAACCCACAAAGACAGCTGACTGGACAAGGGGGAGCTCTTGAACCCCAGACTGATGGCTGAGAGGCCAACAGGGGACTGATCCAGACTCCATGAATGTGGGTGTCAGTGAGGAGGCCTCAGAAATCTCTGGGGCCTTGGGTAGTAGATCAGTGTTCACCATGGCGTACAAATTATTTTTGGGAGCTCATAACACATGCGAGGGGCCGGGGGGTTGCTTTCTCAGCCTATACACATTGGGAAGGGCCTAGGTCCTGCCCTGGATAAAATGACAGACTCTGGAGATCCCCCCAAGGAGGGCCTCATTCTCCCTGGGGAATGATGTGGGGATTGGGCTGGGGGCTGGGGAGTGACTGGTGGAGGGACAAGGGAGGAGGGGTGGGGGAGTAGTTGGGATTGACATGTGAAGCA